GACTAGAGATGGTCGAAGGGTATCCGTCGCGGATACCCGCTATCCGCTGGCGGATACCCGCCAGTGCCAACGGATACCCGCCAACGGGTGCGGATTCGGGTGAGGATGTCCCCTTTTCCGCTAAAAGTTGGCGGGTATCCGGGTATCCCAAAGGATACCCGTGGCCGGAAGGGGAAATGGCCGGCTGGAAGGAAGCCCTTCCGGTTGACGAGGTACTTGTACCTCGCCGGCTGGAAGGGTCTCCTTCCAGCCGGCCATTTCCCCTTCCGGCCACGGGTATCCTTTGGGATACCCGGATACCCGCCAACTTTTAGCGGAAAAGGGGACATCCTCACCCGAATCCGCACCCGTTGGCGGGTATCCGTTGGCACTGGCGGGTATCCGCCAGCGGATAGCGGGTATCCGCGACGGATACCCTTCGACCATCTCTAGTCTGTTTTGAAAACTTTTTGAACTTCTTTTGCATTTCTTTTTCATTTATTTTCCGTTTTCGAATACTTCTCAAATAAAAAAAGCCGAAATCCAAAAAGTTTGTTTATAATCAGGGCCTAAGAACAACTCCGGCTCATTCATTACAATCATCAGGTTCGATCTTTTTCCTATACATTTTATCTCTTTTAGATCCTGTTATTTCTTTTTACTCTACATTTCTCTTTTTCTTTTATTATCAATAAAAATAACACGCTTATCCATAAAACGCATTAGAGATGTCGCTCAATACCCGGGTACCTGTAGTGGGTGCGGGTACCTGCCTCAAAAATCCAATATTTTTGACACCTGCACCCGCACCCGCACCTGCTAGGGCAGCCAGGGCGGGTACCCGGGTACCTGCGCCGGGTACCTGCAGGTACCTGGCACATTTTTGCAGGCAAATTTCTGCATGAATTGGTAAATATAAGATTGATATTCACTAGATATATGAGTAAGAATAAAATAAAAATAAAGAAATAAAGAAAAACAAATTATTCCATCACCAATTTGAATTTTATCTTCTCTCTGATCTATCTTTAGCTTTACCCTTTTGCTTGGCCTCATTTTCCTTATTCAATGTCCATTGATGAAGACTTTAGACCGTCTTTATGACTGGAGGAATTCCTCCAGTCATCAAGACTGTACACCATCTCAAAGGCCGGAGGGAACCCTCCAGCCTCAACAAAGCAACCAGATTAGTTCAGCAACACATGTAAGACACAAGCTGGTGTCCTACATGGGTTGCTGACACCTTTGTGCAGCGCAACACACCCAAAAAAGGGAGTTTTGGACCACAAATGATAAATGAAATTCTTCAGGGGAAGCATTCCCAGGGCGGGTGTAAGGCAGGTACCCGGGTACCTGCCTTTTTTTACCGCAAATGTTGACACCCGCACCCGCACCCGGTACCTGTTTCCGGGTACCTGCTTTGGAAAACAGGTACCTGCAAACGGGTACCGGGTACCTGCAAACAGGTACCTGCTGACATCTCTAAAACGCATGTGAAGAATAGAGAAACTAATTTCCTATTGCGTGTCCTTCCAAAAACCTAACTCCCAAAAACCACAAACACTCACTGTGCTCGTGCAGGTGTGTGTTAAATCTCAGGTGTCGTCGTTGCTTTAAGAACAACTCCGGCTCATTCATTACAATCATCAGGTGTGTGTTAAATCTCAGGTGTTGTCGTTGCTTTAAGAACAACTCCGGCTCATTCATTACAATCATCAGGTGTACCCTTTTGATTGATCCAAAAATTACAGGCTGCAATCAAACTTGTTACTCTTGCATACCTAAATCTTCTCACCCAGAAATTAAAGGACAAAATAATTGATCCTAATATATCACAGATCAAATCAGCCTACAATTTGCCACACCTCTCCAGAGAAGGTTATACTGAGCAACCAACAGATTCATATGTCAAGTTGAATATCTGCAAACAAAGCCCAACCAGCTTACAGAAAAAGGAAAAAAAAAAAAAACGAGTTATAGAGTGTTCAAACAAAACAAGAAAAAAAGATGAGATTCTAAACAAGAGATACGAGGAGCCCACACAAAAAAAAAAAAAAACGTAAACAAAAACAAAGCGCCTGGAGATCGAGATATTCTGCGGACATGTAAGTAAATAGATGGATGGGGAACTATGTACTGAGATGGTCGAAATAAACAGATCAAAAGATGTATAAGACTTAGCATATGTACTAGGCGAGATAAAAAAGAACCCAAGAAAGAAAGGATGGATGGATGAATGATGATGATGATGAGAGAGGAGGGCCTCAGATACAGAACCCCCCAGGACTATCTAAACTACCTTCCTACCAAAAAAAAGGAACCAAAAGGCAGAGAAAAAGAACGACATCAAGGAAAAAAAAAGAGGAAATGCGTTTGAAGGGATAAAGAAGAAGAAGCTGATGATGGTACGGAAGATGAGAAGATGATGATAAGCAGGGGGGGAGGGGGGAGGGGTTGGTTGTTGTTTGAGATGGTTAATTGGAGGACGAGTGAGGTTGAGCGAGGGCGAGGGATTGCCAATCAAACTTGACCAATTGATCGACCCTATGATTTAAACACCAATCAGTTCCCGAATCTTTGAGAGCATCGAGAGGGACGAAAGAATCAGACGCTACTCTCGCAGAAAGAGAGTTTGGTTAGAAGAAGGAGGAGAAGAGAAGAGACGATCGGTTTCAGATTAGGCTCTTTTCTTCATCTCATCGGGGAAT